ATACCAAATTTATTATTATAAAACTATTTACCTCTTATATTTATTCAAATAAATATTTTGAAATTATTTTCCCATTTAAATTACATCTCAAGTAAAACCTATATATGTGTTTTAAAATATATTTGTAAGTCAATATTTATAGTTATCTAAGAAATTATGTTGCACATCAATTAATATTTATTATCACATTATCAAACACACAATAAAAAATAAGATAGTTAAAAAAATGTATCATGTAATTAAATTTTGAAATCAAAATCATCACATCAATTATATATATCTAAACTAAATTATTGTAATTATAATAACACCAACTAATAATAATATATATATATATATATATATATATATATATATATAATTCCATATTAACAATTATCTTCTTTCTCAAATCATCTATTCAAGAATTAAAATTCTGTTAATTCTCACGATTAAAACAAAACACAATATAACTTCTAATCACTTAAAGGAATCAAACATAACTCTAAAACACTTTCAATCAAATTCAAACTCACATAATTCATTTGTACTAAATAGCCCTAATTATATGCATCTTGTGAAAGAATAAAACAAAAACTAAAGAAAAGATGAGTAATTAAAAAAAAATTAAAATGGAGACTTTATTTTTAAGGAAATAATAAAATCTTAAATTATTTTTATCTATGTTTATCTCACGTAAAAAAAATCCAAGATCCGCCCAAATTATTTTATTAATTTTACCACTCATATAAAACATATAAATCACATAAAACATCTCTTTAAATAAATTAATATTATACATAATTAAACATTAAATATCACTTATAGATTATAATATATAATTATTTATAACTTAAAAATACTAGTCCTTACAAGTATATTCATTTTAGGAACGTTCACCCCTTATTTTATTTTAAAAAATTAATAAGAATCTTCATCCTATATTTTGTTAAAAAAAATATTTTTTGATATAAAATTAAAGATACATATCAAATATATTCTTTTGATAAAATAGACAATAGGAAACTCTAATAATTTTAAATTAAAATAATAAATAAATCAATTCTTAATTGATAAATAATTTTACTAAACATAAGCTGTTACCGGGTAAACAAACCGTAAAATATAATAAATAAAGACATATTGAAAATAAAGACACATTTTATGATAGAGTTGATAAACAATATAAGTTTATAGAAATTATAAAGAAAGAAGAAAATGAAAATAGAATATAAGAAGAACATAATAAATTGAGAAGAGTGTGAAATGAAGTAAAAAAGTTCAAGAACTACCAATTTGACAGTAGGTAATAAAATTTATTAAATTTAGTTGTTTATCATATTATTTTATATTTTGTATTATATTTTTTTAATATATTTTTAAGTTTTTATAAATTAATAATCCAATATTTTTTTTAATTATGAGGTTAAATAAAATTTGAATGCAAATTATTGATACGTTACAATCTTTATATGAAACAAATTTCTTAATTATATTAAAATTTATATTCACCTTTAAAAAATAATTGATATCTTATTTATTCTATTAACAAAACCATTTCTGCCATTTTTATAAGAGAATAAAAATTTATAAAGTTTTTAGGTCTTAATACTAAAAACTTATTTATAAATTGAGTACATAAAATTTGTCACATGTATTAATTGTATTTTTATTAAGGTAATTATTTGAAATCATCGACGTTTTAATTTCTTTGATATAAAGAATGTTATAGGTTATTTTTCTTCAAGACAATTGTATATATCAACTAATTTTGTTAAATAAATAAGATAATATAAGAATAAACCTTTTGATGAATATGAAACCTACCGTATTTTATTTAAAGTAATGTTAAACTTGACTTAATAAATTATATTTTCAATTCATTTAAAAATACGAGTATATCATTTAATATTAATTTCTTATATTTTATTATCTTTATATACATGAAAGATCCTTATTTCATTGTTTATAATCTCTGATAAATGATATTAACTTATGTTTATAATATTTTAATTGATAAACTGAAAGAACTATCGAAAAATGAACTATCGAAGAATGATGTGGAGATATATGATATATTAATGAAATAAACATTTATACATGTATCTATTTTGTGGACTATTGATAAATTTTTTTGTATGAAAATATATTGAAATGAATCACTAAAGAACAATTAATCTATTCTTGTAACAAAGATACATAATCTTTAAGTTTATCAAATGAAAAAAATAAAGAAAACATGAATGTTCATTACTTTATCATTATTAGAGATAACACGAGAGTCTTTAATAAAAATAAATAAAGAAATTGCTCTTAGACAAATTAATTAAAAATATATAGCTAAAAAATATTAATAATATGATCATATTAGTATTATTAGTATTATGACGTGTTTAATTAATATCAATAATTTATTTATATTAAATAATATACTTTTATTATTTGAAGATGATATAGTTAAATATAAAATATTGTTATTTTTTATTTTTTATTTAATTTTTAATTTAAGTATTCAAATAATTATCTTGATACAAAATAGGATTAAAGTTAAAGATATTTTCTTATTTATTTATTTATTTATTTTATTTATTAAAATAAAGTTAAATAAAATACTACTAACAGAAATATATATAACTAAAAGAGAAAAACATTATTTTTATTTTATCTTAAATAAATATGAGAATATGCTGTTGATGACAATTTTTTTCTTAAACATAAGATTTATGATTCACATAAACATATTATCTTTTTTAAACTATTATTTATTTTAAAAAAATTGAACTAATGTTTTTAAAAGTTAAAATAACATCATTTTTTATCTTATGCCAAATAAATTTTTATATTTTTAAAATTGATAAGATAATTTTATTAAATGACATTTTTTCATATACTGATTCTAATTCAAAAATTATTAATAAAATTTAAAAAAAATTGTAATTATTTTTTATTTAATTGTAATATTTTTTATCTTTCATATATTATCTTATTAATTTTCTTTTACCTTTTATTTGTATTAGTATTAGTATTGATATTGATGTACTTATACTTTTAATAATAAATTTAGGTGAAATTTAGTAAAGTTACGAAGAAACAAAAGTAAGAAAAAAATTCAACTATCTAAGAATTAAAAGAAAAAAAGACTATTTTTTAATCATTTTATTAGAAATATCTAAAATTATGTGGTATTTAAAAATAGTTTATGACAACAAAATAGGAACATTAAATGATCTTAAAAAAAAGTATGAAATTTCAATTTGATTTAATCTATATGGATATATAGCTAGAACTTAAAGTTAGAATGATCGAAAAAAGAAAATACACAATTTTATTATATCCACGTGATACTATGTTTAAAAAAGCATGAATTTTATTAAATTTTGGAATAATTATTCATTTGTTCGTTTTTATTGTATAAGCATTCTTAAGAAATATATAATATTTAATCTTTTAATGCATATATAATATTTAACCTTTTAATGCATTTCTATTATGATCTTAAAGGAAGTCATGAATAATTATTTTATCCATTTATTAATTATGAATATCTTAGTCTATTTCATCACAATTATCAATAAAATTCAAAATATTATTGAATCCAGACAAACATAATAATAAGAAAATCACATATAACTTAATTAATTATAAATCACATTTTTAATTTGGCTTGACCTGACTTACAAATATATTTTAATTAATTATACATTTATAATTTAATTAACACAAAATACAACATATTATCACATAAATTATCATACATGTCATTTTTTTCACTTTAATAAAATTTTATTACATTATATTCTCACTGAGTTAAAACTACACTAAAAAAAACACCTCTAACACTCAAAAGTTCCTACTTAAACTATAAAATAAATTGTAATTTATAAAATTATAACTTTTTATATTAAATATATAAATATACAATAATAACATAATTTAAATAATAAATATTTACACATTAAATTTAAATTATTAATTATAATTAACTTATTTAATATATAAATATAACGATTCTCTTGATTTATTTAATAAAAAATATTGATTAATAAATAAAAAATATATAAATTATTAATATAATCAAATTTATTTATTTTATAATTTTTTTTTCAAAATAGGAAATGTGTTTTTGAAAATCTTTTTTCTAAGTCTATATAGGAATCTAAAGTTCCTTACCTGAACATGACTGTAACAACTTGATTATGATTTCATTCTTCATCAGTCATGTCGTCATCATCTTCTTACTCATATTCTATAAGATTCATTATAGAAATGTTTTCATAGGGATAGTAGAAATACTATGTCTATTTTTTACTGACTTATCTTGTTCTAGGTCTAAGTGTGGTGTGTTTCTCAAGACTTGTAGGTCTTTGAATTCTACTAATAAGCTATATGTATCATGTTGGTAGGTTTTTTCTAAGATTGGGTTGGGTAAATAACCTAAAAATTTTCTTTTGAATGACTAAATATAGGTCATATGCTTTGTGAGATTGTTTAAATCATTTAAACAAGTTGATTTTTTAGATGCTTCTTCTAAAAACGTTATTATTGTATTGTTTTGTTCAATAAAGACGGTGTGTTGTCTACTTCTGAAGTAGGTTTTTTATATCTATTAGAGGGAATTTTGTGATTTGTTCGACAGCTGTAAGAGCTGTTTTGTAATCTTTGTCTAAAAAAGACTGCGGACTTTGTATACCTTTATTTTATTAAAAATATAAAATATATACAAAATTATATAAAAAAATAATATCTCCTCCCTAGCGGGATAAAATTTAGAGGTTGTTTTATCTTCAGTCTCCCTCACCCTATATTCCGTCACCCAAAAGCGAAGCACACTAATACAAAATGGGTTGACCCATATCTTCGCCCTTTACTGAGAGGAATCTTAAATTTCCCAACCACTTTTGTGACAAGAGCTTTTTCTTATGGCCCAAACTACATGGCATGGTTTCATTTTTTGTGGGTTAGTAAAAAAATTAGTATTTAAATAATAAAGTTCTTTGTTATTGGGCTAGAGTTCCATGTAGGGCCAGAATACAAAATGTTCGCCCAACCCTACAGATGTTCTGCATGTGGATGTGGAGAAGAAAAATCAAAATGGAATAGTGTAGTTTTAGTTTAGTTTCTATTTTCTTAAATATATTATATTTTTAGTTTCTGTAAAATGAATTAATTTGGAATGTTTTATTCTTATAAAAATTGAAATTGTTATTCTTTTCCTAATGTTGTTTTAAGATATATACATGTTATTTATTTCAAGGGTATTGGAAAAAATCAATGATTATGTTCAATCAGAAACTATGGTTTAAACATAGTCACTTTCTTATGTAAAAAGTACGAGGTTTTTAGTAAGTTGTATACACAAGTATCGATAGATATGAAAACACAATTCTTATGCTATTGCTAAACATACAATGAACATAGCACGAGACTTTTCACTGTTCTTATAGTGGTCGAAGGTCATGTTCGGTTTTAATCCAAATAAGACGAGTCAAATTTAAAAGGAACAACAATCTTGTGACTCAGACAATACTCCTTTTAGCAAAATGGCAAGGGGAAAACAACAACAATTCTTAAATTATTTAGTGTTTTTAAACAAGAAAGCATGGGTGACGAAAGATGGAATGTTCCTGTACATTTCTCATGTGGTCCTGTTCATAAACTGATGATGATATTTTGCTAAATGATTGGTGCTGCACTGTGACAAAGTTTATAAATACAAACACCATCTTATGAGAGTAGATAGTTTGTTAGATTGAGGAATAGTGATACTGTAACGTTTCAATTATTCCGTCCCAGAATCAAAATTTATGTTGTTTGGAACAGTAACATTCTAATATTTCTACTACTGTTTGTTTTTCTTTTTCATTTTGTAACCAGTTTCGTTCTTTATGTTGTTCATTAGGTTACGTTACTTCTCCAACACTCTTTACTTTTTTTCATGTTTATACCTCTCTCATGTCGATATGAAAGAAATTATTGGATATATGTAAAAGGGCTTGCCAATTTCAAATAAGTTTTTATTTCAACTGTTGAATTGACAAAAATATAATAAATAAATAGTAGTTTCATTTTCGGATCTTAAATTAATATATATATATATATATATATATATATATATATATTAATGAGTTTTTTTTTAATATATGGACCTTCAGTTTTGATATTCTAATCATGGTTTATTTTTAATTAAATGTGTTTAACCATATTTTTCTAACACGTATAATTTATACTCGAGATATTCTCAAATTATACGAATATTTTATTTTAAGACCTATATCTAATATGAATTAGAATTTTTTTTAATTATTTTGATTTGACGATAAAACACAATTATATATATATATATATATATATATATATATATATATATATATATATATATATATTATCCAAAAAGATTATCTCCATGTAAAAACACTACAAGAAAATCGCAGATATCAGACGGATTTATAGCAGTCGAAAAATAATCATTATTGATGTAAATTACCGACGGATATAAAATATTTGTAGAATTTGATGTTACCGACGGATATATCCGTCGGTAAAATAATAATTAGTTACCGATGGATATATCCGTCGATAAATCCGTCGGTAATTTATAGATGAATTTACTGACGAAAATATCCATCGGTAAATCTGTCGATAAATTAACAATTAATTATCGACGGATATATCCGTCGGTAAATTTATCCGTAAATTAACAATTATTTACCGACAGTATATATCTCGTCTGTAAAATTATATAATATAATTTAATTATTCACCTAATTAAAAAATAAAATATTTTTTATTTAATAATTTAATTTATAATAATTTATTAGATTAAATAATTTTAAAAAATAAATATTTAATTATATATAAATATAAAAATATATAAAAATATAAAAATATATAAATATATAAATATATAAATATATAAATATATAAATATATAAAATATATAAATATATAAATATATAAATATATATAAATATATAAATATATATAAATATATATAAATATATATAAATATATAAATATATTTGTATATAAATATAATTTATTTGTAAATTGTTATCAAAAAATTCTAGTAGCTTAGTGGTTGAAAAATCAGCCTCTAACTTTAAGGTACATAGGGGAGGGGTTCTATAAAAAAATATGTTATAAATAAGTAATTTTTTTAATAAATAATAAAATTATTATCGACGGATTCTAGTCCATCGGTAATTTCAGTAACACATTTACCGACGGATAAATCCGTCGTGTAATTACTGATGGACTATTAAATCCGTCGGTAATATTTACCGATAACAAAATTTCTGACGAATTTTTGGCCATCAAAATTCCGTCGGTAATATTCATTTAGCGACGGATTTTTGTTATTACCGACGATTTTGACCGTCAGTAATTTTAATATTTCTTGTAGTAAAAGAAAAAACACGTTCCGATCGTCAAATAAGTTTTTTTTTCAAACTTTTATTTATATATATATATATATAATTATAATAATAATAATTTTATTTAAATAATATTTTATTATATATAGACTTTTGTTTTGAAATTCAATGTTTTAAAATCATGGTTTATTTTTAATTCAATATGTTTAATTATGGAAAACTATATATTAGATATAGAATTAGATAAATATTTAAAAAAAACATAATATTAATCAAATACTAATATTATTACAAAATAGATAAAAGATAATATTTTATCATTATTGAAAAAGAAGTAATGATAAATAATTGTTGTGTAAAATATTACATTTTATTTTTATATATATATATATATATATATATATATATATATATATATATCTTTTTAACGACGAATTTTTATAATTGTCTAATCGTTCTTTTATAATTATCATTGTGTATTTCATATAATGAAAATGATAGAAGAATTATTGTTGTATATTTCGTTAAAATTTTTAATTTTACATATTTTGTTCATTTCATTTTTACGTTTCTAATTTTTTTTTCTTTTCTCTCTTATTGTAACTTTTCTCTTCTTCCTTTATTTATCGTAATTAAACTCTTTTATTTTTTTCTCTTCTCAAAGTGTTTCTCTTCATTAAATATTTCCAACACACTCAAATTATTGAAAAGAGAACGACGGTAAAAGATAATTACTAAGATAGAAATAAAAGATAATATTTTGTTAGAGCGAATGCCATTAGATGTGTTAAAGTTCAATTAGAAGAATAATAATAAAAAAGTCTTACAAGCTTTCAAGTTAAGGATAGAGTGAAAACTTATGTTGCGAGAAAAAAATATAGTATTATCATAGTCAAGTTTCTAAATTTGAAACAACATATTTTAAAATACAAGGATAATGAGTATAATCATCATTAATTTAACTTATAATCAAAATTCAAAATCGTTAATTTTTAATTACAATTATAACAATAATGACTAAAAATTATCATTATAATTTTTTTTAATCCATAATAAATAATTATTTATAATATTTGACTATTACTTATTCAATAAACTGTATTAAATATAAAATTTTCTCTATTTATCTTCATATAAAATGAAATGTCCAAACACTAAATTAACTTGTTTTATAAAGTACTCTAAAGAAGAAAAAAAAATGGTTGATCGAGTTGGTGAGGGTGACATTAATTATGGCTTAGAATACTTTAGTTAGAGACTTGCAATGTAGCCACAACAAAAGCTCATGGATTGTGTTAATATGTTATCTCAGCACATGCAGAGCATTAGAGAAGAGAGAGAGTGTGTGCTTGTGAAGAAAAAGGATGCACCAACAACCATATAGATCTCCTGTTTCCAATGTTGTGAGGTCATAGTGTGTTATTGTTGCATCAGAGAGCGTGTGTATTTGAGTTTGAATGAGTAACCCCAGTGAAAGTGATGGCTACCTCTATGTTGTGCCATTCCACTTTGTCACTTGTCTTGTTTTTCTGGGTTCATCATCTCTCATTTTAATTATACCCTCTATATTCTGAATCATTTCTCTTTGGATTCCATGGCCACTTCCATACCATCACATCTCTCTCTCTCTATTAGATATATTTGAATAAGTCTCCAGCTGTTACTAGAATACTGGAGGTTGTTAGCTTGCTTTGAATAAGTCACCTAGTTTTACTAGAGTTCTGTTTCCTTATCTTTTGGGTAGTTGCGGGATATCAACATAGTAATTTGGTTTTAGATATTTTTCTGTTTGTAAGCTGACTATATATATTTCGTATAGCACATGAATAAAAGGTGAGTTATCCTTTCTTTATCAAACACTTTATCAACTATTTTTCTTTTATAACATTGTGGTATCAGAGCCTCTCGTAGGCCTGATACAGCATAGCTGCAGCTAGCTAATCTGTAAGACAGACAGAGAGTGATGGCAACAGAAAATACTTTTGTGCAACCTGCAATTCCTAGGTTCGATGGTCACTATGATCATTGGACAATGTTGATGGAGAATTTTCTACGTTCAAAAGAATATTGGGGCTTGGTGGAAACTGGAATTTCAGTTGTATCTGCTGGAACGACACCAACTGAGGCGCAGCAGCGTCAAATTGATGAACAGAAGCTTAAGGACATGAAAGCAAAGAATTATCTTTTTCAAGCCTTGGATCGTTCCATTCTCGAGACGATTCTCAAGAAGGACACCGCCAAGGACATATGGGACTCTATGAAGACGAAGTACCAAGGTTCGACACGGGTTAAGCGAGCTCAATTACAGGCATTGAGGAAGGAATTTGAGACACTCCATATGAAGGATGGCGAGACTGTGAATGACTATTTCGCACGTACACTTACGATTGCGAACAAGATGAAGGCTAATGGTGAAAACAAAAGTGACACAGAAGTAGTGGTAAAGATATTGCGATCTATGACTCCGAAATTCAACTACGTGGTCTGTTCAATTGAGGAGGCCCAAGACACTAGCAAACTGTCTATAGATGAATTGCAAAGCAGTTTGCTAGTGCATGAGCAAAGGATGATTAGCCCGGAAGAGGAACAAGCTTTGAAGGTGACTTATGGGGAATCTTCTAATCGAGGAAGAGGTCGTAGTGGCTATCGAGGACGAGGTCGAGGACGAGAAAGGGCAAACTTCGACAAATCCACTGTTGAGTGCTTCAATTGTCACAAACTAGGGCACTTCAAGTGGGAATGTCAAAGCAAAGAAAGCAATCATACGGAGATTTCTGAAGAAATGTTGCTCATGGCTCAAGTTGGAGATGAACAACTCCAGAGCGACGATTAGTTTCTAGACTCTGGTTGCAGCAATCATATGTGCAATAGAAAAGAATATTTTGCAGACCTCAATGAGCGATTTGCAGACAATGTGAAGCTAGGGAATAATGCAATCTTGGTGGTGAAAGGAAAAGGAAATGTGCGGCTGCAGATTAACAATCAAATACAGGTAATAACTGAAGTTTTTTATGTGCCTGATTTGAGAAATAATTTGCTAAGTGTTGGACAGCTTCAAGAGAAGGGTTTGGCTGTGCTTATTCAACATAACAGTTGCAAGGTTTATCATCCTGAAAGGGGTGTTATCATGAAATCTGCGATGTCCTCCAATCGCATGTTCAAAATTGCAGCAGTGTCTCTAGCATCTGGGACAACTTGCTTCAATACGATAACTGAAGATGTTGGTCAATTATGGCATTGCCGCTATGGTCATTTGGGTTTCAATGGACTCAACACCCTACAGCAGAAAGAAATGGTAGTGGGTCTGCCGCAGCTGATAAAACCATCAAGAGTGTGCAAGGAGTGTTTGAATGGGAAGCAACAACGAGATCCATTCCCTAAGAAGAGTGCCTGGAGAGCTGAATTGCCTTTACAACTGATTCATTCTGATCTATGTGGTCCTATTCAACCAATTTCCAACAGCAATAAGAGGTACTTCATTTCTTTCATTGATGATTGTACTTGAAAGACATGGATCTATTTTCTACATGAGAAATCAGAAGCATTCAAGTTCTTTAAAGAGTTCAAAGCCAAAGCTGAACGTGAAGCAGGTTTGCAAATTAAGGGTCTTCGAATAGATCGTGGAGGCGAATTCACTTCATCAGAATTCTCAGATTTCTGTGCTGAAAATGGGATAAAAAGGCAGCTCACTGCTCCGTATTCGCCTCAGCAAAATGGCGTTGTTGAGCGAAAGAATCGTACCATTATGAATATGGTTCGAAGCATGATGATCGCAAAAAGTATCCCGGATAGCTTTTGGCCAGAAGCTGTTAATTGGGCAGTTCATGTTCTTAATAGAAGTCCGACATTAGCAGTGCAGAATAAGACACCAGAGGAAGCTTGGAGTGGAAAAAAACCTTTTGTTGGGTATTTTAAAGTTTTTGGATGTGTGGCTCATGTGCATGTGGGATATAACTCTCGAACTAAATTGGATAAACGTAGTGTAACATGCGTCTTATTGGGAGTTAGTGAAGAATCAAAGGCGTATCGACTCTATAATCCCATTGATAGAAAGATAATTATTAGTCGGGATGTTGTATTTGAAGAGGATGGATGCTGGAATTGGGGAGAAGAATTCACAAGCTCAATTCAATCCGAATTGGATTGGCATGACAATGAAACTGATGTTGAAGGGGGATAATGGTATGGAGGAAGAGATGGAAGAAGATGAAGAAGGAGCTGCACAACAAGATGAAGTGGCCCAACAAGAAGAGGAGGCTTGTGAACAACAACTTCCAAGAAGGCAGCACACTCAACCTTCTTGGATGCACGATTATGTAACAGGTGAAAGGTTGTCTGATGATGATTTTGAGTCACATTTGACTGTCGACAGCGGAAATGATCCTATCCACTATGAAGACGCAGAAAAGAATCCAATTTGGAGAAAAGCCATGAAAGAAGAAATTGAAGCTATAGAAAGAAATGGAACTTGGTATTTAACTGAGCTTCCAGGAGGTGCTAAGAAGATTGGAGTTAAATGGATCTTCAAAACTAACCGTGATGAGAAAGGAGATGTCAGTAAGTATAAAGCACGATTGGTGGTTCGGGGATATACTCAAGAATATGGAGTAGATTACAAGGAAGTGTTCGCCCCTGTAGCACGCATGGAGACTATCCGATTGGTCATTGCTGTAGCTGCTCATCATGGATGGCCTATCTACCAATTGGATGTCAAATCTGCCTTCTTGCATGGGGAATTAACTAAAGATGTTTTTGTTGAACAACCACAAGGATTCAAAAAAAAGGGGGAAGAAGGAAAAGTCTACAAGCTGAATCGGGCTCTATATGGCTTAAAACAGGCCCCCCGAGCTTGGTACAGTCGCATTGAAAGCTATTTTTTGAGCCGTGGATTTGCAAAATGTGAGTATGAACCCACTTTATTCACTAAGGTGGAGGAGAACAGTATTATGGTGGCAAGTTTGTATGTGGATGATTTGATTTATACAGGGAATGACAATGAGTTGATGATGGAGTTCAAGAAATCAATGCAGTCAGAATTTGCTATGACGGACATGGGAAAAATGAAATTCTTTCTCGGTCTTGAAGCAACACAAAAATCTGATGGTATTTTTGTGTGTCAAAAGAAGTACGTGATAGATCTTCTAGAGAGATTTGGAATGAGCAATTCAAATTTTGCTCATAATCCGATGGTTCCAGGAAGCAAATTAGGCAAGGATGAAGAAGGAAAAGGAGTTGATAAAACACTCTACAAGTAGATGGTCGGTAGTTTAATGTACGCAACTGCCACACGGCCAGACATCATGTATAGTGTGGGTCAAGTTAGTCGGTTTATGGAAAATCTAAAGGAGCTTCATTTTCAAGCAGTAAAGCGAATCATACACTATCTCAAAGGAACTTGCGAATTTGGATTATTCTATCAAAGAAATGGAGGAAAAGATCTGATCGGTTATACAGATAGTGATTATGCTAATGACGTTGAAGACAGAAAAAGCACATCAGGCTATGTTTTCATGATGAGTGAGGCTGCTATCTCATGGAGTTCGAAGAAGCAACCAGTGGTGAGTCTATCAACAACTGAAGCGGAATTTATAGCAGCTGCTGCAAGTTCTTGTCAGGCTGTGTGGCTTAGACGAATACTTGAGGCAGTAGGAAGAAATCAAACAAGCCCTACTATTATCTATTGTGACAATAGTTCTACCATAAAGTTGTCAAAGAATCCAGTTATGCATGGGAGGAGTAAACACATCGATGTACGTTTTCATTTTCTAAGGGATCTTACAAGGAATGAAACTGTTGAGCTGCAACATTGTAGTTCACAAGAACAAGTAGCTGATGTCATGACAAAGCCGCTCAAGCTGGAAGACTTTGTTCAAATGAGAAGGAAGTTAGGAGTTGTCGCAAATGTAAACTGAATATGTGTGATGATTCAGTTTAAGGGTGGGAATATTAGATATATTTGAATAAGTCTCCAGCTGTTACTAGAATACTGGATGTTGTTAGCTTGCTTTGAATAAGTCACCTAGTTTTACTAGAGTTCTGTTTCCTTATCTTTTGGGTAGTTGTGGGATATCAACATAGTAATTTGGTTTTAGATATTTTTCTGTTTATAAGCTGACTATATATATTTCGTATAGCACATGAATAAAAAGTGAGTTATCCTTTCTTTATCAAACACTTTATAAGCTATTTTTCTTTTATAACACTCTCTCTCTCTCTCTCTCTCTCTCTCTCTCTCTCTCTCTCTCTCTCTCTCTCTCTCTATATATATATATATATATATATATATATATATATATATATATATATATATATATATATATATATATATATATATATATATACTTTTATTCTGTTGTCATTGAAATTGATTTTTTTTTAGAAAACAATGTTTTTCTTGCTTTCTTAATTGTGTAATCTAAGTTCATCCAGTTACTTGATGCTTGTTATTTAACAAAAATGTTCAAAGTATTAAAGTGTCACATCAACCTGGATGGATGGAACATAGTAACGGAAGAAAGTGGTATATACACATGAATATATAAATATGAAAATGGGAAATCAAGAAACCACAATCTAACAATGATTTTTTATTGATATAATAATAATAATAATAAATTAAAATTATTATATTATTAAAATAGTTATAGGATGAGTGTTTAGGAAAAATAGATTATTTAAATGTAATTACTCAACGAATATTTTAATTATCAAGAAACCCTAAATCCTAAATTAAATTTTAATATTTTTAAAAAAATTATCAAATAGTAAAAAGTAATTTTATTATAATATAAGTTATTTATAATTAATATAAAGTGTAATTTAAATATCAAAAATATTTTTTTTCATTATAATTTTAATTATGATATTATTTCTTATAAGTTTCAATTATATAAAAAAAATATTTATTTTGTACATTGTAGTATCGCTGTGAAAATTAGTGGAGAAACCAAATTCTGAAAACGAAAAAAATAAAATAAAAAGGAGACTAACTAAAAAATAGAATTAATGTTTGTTCACAAACATGGATTTTGTGTTAGGGTTTGGTAAATCCAATACCCTGATGCTATTAATACCCATCTTTGTGGTTATGACAAAAATGTAATGATTCACACCCATATGATTAGGACATGCCTTAAAGTGGAAGAGAAAGTTGATAAGGACAGATATAAATATGGTTAGGAAAAGGACAAGGTTAGGCAGCACAACCCTTAGTATCTTAATCCACACCTTCAATTCTTATTTATTTATTTATTTATGTCTTTATTTTCTTTATCTAATAGCTGTCAGGGACCAATGAATATCTCCAACAAATCTTTCAATCTCACATAATTGAAACAATCATGTGCCACAAGAATTTACAATGGCAAGGACACCAACATTATTGTGTTCTTAATTCATACATCAATGTTTCAATGACCAACGGCTAATTTCTTCAACACCAATACCATTGACTAACGTAACTTTGATCTTCTAATAATCCATCAACCTACCTCAGTTAGCTTTTTAATTGATTCTCTTAATTCAACATCTTATGAAGAATAATTATTACTTCGCTCATTATCATCAAGTAAAATAGTTTTACTTTAATTAGTAACTTTGCTTTCAAATAATAAATATAGCTAGATGTTTTAAATTTTAAATATGGTGTAAACTTTTGATTACTTCGTTATTATAGTTTTTGTTTTTTTTATAGCAATTTTAGTTATTGATATGTTTAAGTTTTGTTAACGGATAAATTTGAATGCTCAATCAAGATAGAAGATAAATAAGATTTAGTTTGATCTAAATATAAAATTTAAATTAAATTAACTTTTATTTGTCATAAATAATGCGAAATTTTGGTTTTATTAAAAATTTAATTACATATTTAGTTTTTTATTTTTACACAATTAGAAAATCTTGACTTTCTATTAATATATAATATAATTATTAATAAAAAGATATTAAAATGTTTTATAATAACAGATATTAAAATCTATCCTAAAATTTACTCATTAGTAATATTATAATAATAATAATAATAATAATAATAAACACATAAAAATTTCTATTAACAATTGATATCCTACTAATAGAACAAAGTTATTTAAGTTTTAAAAATTGAAAAAAAAAATATTAACTTGGCTACGAAATAAAATATTTAAATATGAATAAAAAGAAAAATTACATAGTACGTTTTTTTTCACTAAAGTGAAAAAATATATTTTATTTTATCTATTTTAATTTATATTATTATTTTAATTAAGTAATAATTTATATATGATCATTGATGTAGTTTTTTCTAAATATAGATTATAAAATTTTCACATATTTACTAAAATTTTTATGTGACTTGATGATATTAATATTATAAGTTTTTTTTTCCACATATCCTCGTAAAACAGTAATGTAACCACTTGTCAATAAATATCGTATTTATGATAAAATATGTGAATATAAAAAATAACATGTAACCTTGAGATTTAAATTTAAAATATTTTATATTTAAAATATAATTATCCTTTTATAATAATTTTTTATATTTTAGTAAAATATTTTAAAAATACTATATAATAAGTTTTGATGTACATAACATACATTTTATGATATAAAGGGACATCATAACTAAATTATTATCAACAACTACATTAACTCATTAATTTTCTTTACGATAATATCTATAACCATAACTAACAACACATAAATATGAATAAAATATTTTTCACTTCTAGAATTAGAACAAAATGATTTATGTTTCATATTATAATAACATGTTATGAACAAAATTAAAAATATAAATATTTGGCACATGAAATAAGATAACAAAACAGAACTAGAACTAAAAATGGATTCCTAGATGATTTAATGTACAACAATAACATTAATCTTGTTTAAAACTTTTTTTCTTATCTTTTCTTTTTCTTTGAGATTATTCTTATGAAAAAATATAACTAACAATGATATGAATAAAATATTTTTTACTTCTAGGATCAGAAAATTGTATTTCATACGATAATAACATGTTATGAAATAAGATAATAAAATAAAATGGTATGAAATAAGATAATAAAATAAAATGGTAGAAAATTATCCGTATTTTTGCCTCACTATTAATTAGGGATATATACAAAATACAAAATATAATTTAGGTTGTCATTATAATTGATAAGTTATAATTTAGCCTAATATTTAGGTAATTATTACTACACAATATTATCAAAATAATAACTTATTTTACTTAATAATATATATCACACGTCTCGGTTGAAGCAAGAGGTTGACCAATACTTAGATTGTTCCGAAAATGATCAAAGAGTATGTTCGGAAGGCCTTTGGTGGAAATATTAGCAATTTGATAGCGAGACAAAATATAAAGGATACGGAGTTCGCTACGGGCAACTTTTTCACGTATAAAGTGTATGTTCATCTCAATATATTTTGTACGTTGACGTTGTACATAATCACTCGATAGGTAAATGACACTCACATTGTCACAGTACACTAATGTAACTTTTTGAATTGGACAATGAAGCTCAAAGAAGGTTTCGAATCTAACAAGAATCATAAATAACATTAGCTACTCCTCTATATTCAGCCTCAACACTAAAATGAGATAATGTACGTTGTCGTTTGGATGACCAATAAATCAAGTTATCACCGATGAAAACACAATATCCAGATGTAGACCATCTAGTATCCGAATATCAACCGCAATTTGCATCTGTGTAAGAGAAGAGTTTTCCAACATTGGATTTATACAAATGCAAGCCAAAATCAATAATACCATGAATGTAACGTAAAATACATTTAAGAGCATGTATGTGCTCTTCCTTGGCATCATGCATATAAAAATATACTTGTTGCACTTCATAAGAAATGTTAGACCTTGTAAAAGTGAGATATTACAATATTTTAGCAAAATGTCTATACTTAATAGGATCCTCGTAGGAAATGTCATTACAAGTGCTAAATTTGAGCTTTGTGTCAACTGGTGTGAGACAAATTTTGCAATTAGTCATCCCTGCTCTTTCAATAATTTCTTCTACACACTTTTTTTCTAAGAGAAACATACTGGTTGCTTGATGGGTAGTTACAATCCCCAAAAAATAATTGAGTAGACCAAAATCCTTTATAGCAAACTTTACACTTAAGAATGACATAATGGACTTTCTAAGATAATCAAATGAAGCCACTAGGATAATATCATCAACATAAAACAAAATATATGCAATATTAGACTCCTTATTATATATGAATAAAGAGTGATTAGATTTACTATGTTTAAAACCGACTGTAGTCATATAATCTGCAAATCATTGGTACCAAGCACGAAAGACTTGCTTTAGGCTATAAAATGACTTCTTTAACAAACAAACATAATCAGTATGAGAGGTTATTGTCCTATTTCTTATGGACAAATATAATTAACAACACAAAAATATGAATAAAATATTTTTTATTTCTAGAATCGGAACAAAATGAGTTGTGTTTTATACTATAATAACATATTATGAAATAAGATAACAAAATAGAACTAAAAATGATAAACATTTGACACCCATTGTGGGGCTCAAACCCACGACCACAAGGTTAAGAGCCTTGCGCTCTACCAATTGAGCTAGACAGACATGTAATTTTGATTGATCTCTCATGACATCTAATCTTGACCAATTCTCCATGTGATCTTAATTGATCCTTATGTGATATCAATTTGACATACTAGGCTATTGCTCAAAGTTTATTCTTTGATGAGAAATTATAACTACACAAAGAATCTTGAGAATCAAGGCACACACAAATTACTATGAATGAGAGAGGACGCTGTGTTAAGATGTTATTGATCAATATGTAATTGACCATTCTTTGAGATTTGAAGCCTTGTCATCTTCGACTTAAGATTAAGGCACCATGTAGTGTTATTTTACATATCAATATACATACTAGTCTCTTGATTTGTCCAAAATCTGACTTGGAGAGGCTTATTTATGACAAATAAGTCTTGTCAATCACGTCTTCTTAAGAGACATTGTCCCAAGAAAAATACTTCTTTCAAAGAAGACTTTGAACAATATTTTTTTAATCCTTTAAGATTTTCTTTCAACCAATGAATAAAATTCAATATAGTTTGAATAAGGCCAATTTATATATGGTCACCTTCACAATTTAGTCTCATCATCTCAAGAGACTAGAGATTGGAGGGTTGACTATTGTTATACGTTACATTACGGTTTTATGTCAAGCTATGTAATAGGTTAATTTATGGATGATCTTTAGTAGATCTTTAAAACAGTTAAAATTAGGTACCATGAAGGTAAAAGACATATATCCATATCCTTAATTTCTCTCAAGTGCACCACCTACTCCCTACTCCTTAAATACCAGGGTAACAACCTTCTACTAGTCTAAAAATTAGGAAACTGATAAAAAAACAAAAATATATAGACGTAGAACCTGGGAACTAATGAGAACTACTCATTATCAGAACCTCAATTAAGCATTAGTTGAAAGATAGATAATTTACCTTTCTAGTTTTGTTAGAACAAGCACAATTTAGATTTTTTGTTTGATATGTGTACATTATTAATTACTTTGTTAAATTTTTAGTTATCATTGTTAAATATATTGTTAGTTTGATTCCATTCATAGGCGATTTGAGGGAAGATGTAGGGTAGCCACCGTTATATTATTCTTCATATAATTTACAAATAAAAAGGCACACATCTTGTACCCTCTTATTTTCTTTTCCCTTCCCACCATCCTTCCATTCTCTCTACCACTTCACATGTTGCCTCCCTTTTCTCCTTTCCTGCCAAAATATTGTCGCTTTGCCCTTCTTTTGTAATCACCTCCATCTTCTTACTTATTTTTATTGTCCTTACATTCTCTTTTTCTTTCTCGTTGATGCCAATTTGACTCCTCCTTAAGTTTACTTTTTTCATATACATGTTTCCTGTTTTTTAAATTATATGAAAAATGGGCTAACACTCAGAAAGTTCTCTTCCAGTTGCCTATCTCACAGAGAGTAGGGATAATAATTAAACTCATACCCATGGGGACTGACCATTCCCGCCCCAAGTTTGACGGGGAAAACCCGAATTGACTGGAGGCGGGGGCGGGTTCGGGTTTTCCCCGCTTTAAAAAGTCGGGGGCGGGGATGGGTAATGTAATCCCCATCCCGACCCCGTCCCTGTCCCCGTCCCAATTTTATATTTAAATTTTAAAATATTAATATTTTAAAAGTATTTTCTTTCCTTTTTCTATTACATATAAGGTTATTTTTTTATATTTCACCATTTTTATTTTTCTTCTACCCACTTTTTATTTTTTTAATCTTTTATATCAATTAATTTATTACATTATTCTCTCTCTTACCTTTCATTTTTTCACATTTCCTTAATCTTTCCCATCAATTTTTTTTAATCTTTTCAACTAATTTGATGAACACAAAGTTAATTTTTTTTTCTTCTTTATCTTTTTCTAAATATTTTACATAAATTTTATTAGTAACTAATATTATTTTATTTATAATTTATATTTATTAGGTTTTATTATGTCATATTTTTTTATTTTATTATTCTTATTTATCATATATCAAATTTTATCTTAATAAAATAATTGTATTTTAAAGGATTAAAAGGAGTTAATAATTTAAAATTTTATTACTTCAAACTAATTAAATAATAAATAACTTATTAAATATTTTCTTATAAATTATATATTTCATATTTTAAAATGACAACTTAAAAATAAATTAACTTATATATGTAATCAAATGTTTGAATACAGTATTATAATAATAATAATAATAATAATATTATTATTATTATTATTATTATTATTATAAGTATTCAAATATTTGAATACAAGTGTAATAATAATAATAATAATAATGTTATAAATATTATATATATCTATATAATGATTAAATATTTCTTTTACATACATATTTATAAATATAATAAATTTAAATATATATTTAATTATTAATAATTATAAATTATAAACATTAATTTATATATAAAAAATGCATAGTAAAATTAATTTATTATAAATGTAATTATATTTTTAAAAATAATATAAATTGAGGACGGGACGGGGCGGGGAACTCGAAACCCAACGGGGACGGAGATGGAGACTTAAATTTTAATTCCAACGAGGATCGGGGGCAGAGATGGTTAAAAAAGTCGGGGGCAGAAATCGGGGAGACATGCCTAATAGAGAGATAGTTTGAATAGTCTTCAGGACAAGGGTATTGAGGGGTGAGCCTTATAACTAAAGATACATGAGCTCCTTTACACCTGTTTTCTTGGAAAGTCCTTTTATTAACTTTACTTAAAAAGATAGCCAAATTAAAGGAAGAAGATATGTGTATATGCTTTCTCAAGTGTCACTTAAAGCCACACAACTTAGTCCTTTTTGTACCGTGGGACATCGAACTATTAGTATAATTAACTGGGATAACTCAAAATTCAATGAATTAATTAATAATGGTTGGGAATCATACAAAAAATTTAAATTATAATAAACACAAATATTTATAGTGATTCTTATATGAAAAATATATTTTATTTATATATATTTGGAATACTAAATTTTTTTTTACTTATAATGATCTCACTATTGTACATAAGGGATATAAAGACGGTTAAAAAGAATATAATGATGGTTTTAAAATAATTGTTGTTATAGTTGTATGTTAAAGACCCTATACAATGAGCTTAAAAACTTTTATTATTTTCTCGTTTTTTGTTTTCTAGCACAACGACAATGTCAATAAAAACTTTAGCAAACCACATGAAACATGTATCTAACATAACAATTTTCAACTCATCTTTCATCAATGATTAATCCAAAAGAAATTTTTCTAATGAAATCTAAATTGTTTTCTTCCCTAGCAATAAAGTTGGAGATATCATGGTGAGAATATATACTTTGCGAAGGAGAGAAAAAGGAAAATGAGGATGAGGAGAAGTACTTTCTCCTTGTCATTTTTTCTTAAGGTGAGATTAAGCATATTAGAGACATTTATAATTAAGAGAGACACTTCACAAATGAGAGAAAGATGGAGAGAAGGAGAAGAAAAGTCAAATCGCAATGTAGAAGTAAGAAAATGATAAATGCAATGAAAGAGGAGAGAAAAAGGAAAAGAGAGGAGAAAAAAATGAAAGTTTGGGGCACAAAGACAAATAACTTAATTATAACAAGACATATGACGATGGTGTATGTAATATATAAATATAGTTATAAAATAATTGTCATCATATGTCAAATACAATAACAATTATAAAAGAATCATTATTAAAAAGTTGAGCATACAATAACAGTTAAATATGTAATTATTATAAAAAAAAATGTAGATATACAACACTTATTTTTTTATGTCACATACAATTATGATTCTATATGAACTATTGTTAAAAAATTTAAAATAATTTTAAAATTAATACCACATCACTTTCAACCATGATTAATAATTAACCATCATTAAAAACATTGTCTTTTATCTATATTTTACCAATTTGATATCACTCTTCTCAAATGAAAATATGTTTGTCAAAATATGTTGATTATTCTTGTCTACGAACAGTTCTTTTTTGTCTTTTTTTTTATTATTATTATATACATTTTATTGATTAAGGAGGGAAGACAATAATTTTAGTCAACATTCCAATTCAACAGCTGGAAGAAAAAAAAAGGAAGATTATGATCACGAACTACATAAGAGCAATCACCCTTGACCAATCCTTCTGAACCTTGCATGCACAGCCATCAACAGCCATCAATATGTGCAATTTGACAAAGAAACCACCACTAGAACTACCTCACTTGCAAAATCTCTTACAAACCAATTGAACATACCTTCGACAAATCTTTCGAATGATGAACACCAACCACTAAAAGAGGACATGTAAGAAATGGCACTGAGAATGAATTTTTTTTTTGTCGGTAAAAATGTGAGAAAAAGAGGAGACTTTTGATATATGGGGTATGTATGTATACAGACCCTATAAATTCGTAATGAATTTGTTCTTGAAGAGAAAAAAATTAACAAAATTGGTAAAATTTAACATGATGCTTGAAGCTACTCAAGTAAAGAACTTTGTGACAAATAAAAATTGCAGATGCTTTTATTCAAATTAGCTCTTGTAATAAAAAAAACACTGATACCATTAGAATTATTAATGTACATCATTGGTCTAAATTGGGACAATAATGCATGAATGGGATGTCTATAAGAGGAATTCTTCATCGACACGATATTACATTAGTTTCCCTAAACACATGATGGACTATTCAATTTTTATTTTATTAAATTTCAATATTGACATGTTGAAATAATTAACACGAAAAAAATACGAGATATTATATATTCTATAGAAATAAAATATGATAAAATTAGAATACACGTTAATTTCAAAGTTATAAAATTAATATACGATATGGTAGTTTTAAAAAAATAAGACAATATATCATAGCTATAGATATATAAAATTGTGAAATACAGTCAACATTATAAGAAAACCAAGAATTTCCGACGGACCAAATCCAATGATAATAAAAAAATCAGTAAATAATTTTTAGTTTAAAATATTCATATCATGATATTAATGGAGTAAAGTTTTATGATCACGTGATTAGCTTATTATTATTATTATTATTATTATTATTATTATTATTATTATTATTATTATTATTATTATTATTATTATTATTATTATTATTAAGTATTAGAATAAAATCAATACTTTCAAGAACTTAAATAAATCACTAGAAAATTTTAGAGAGTTAAATATTTTTAGAGAAATTGTTCTTATCTCTTCTTCTTAAGTTATATTAACTGACACTCAAGGTTCCTATAAATTTCAAAATAAAAAATTATCTCTCTCATAATTTTAATAAATGATACTATTTTTTTTAATTAATAGTGTGACATTCGCCTCCCTCATTTTATTCATAAAAAATATTTATGATGTTTTAGTTTTTTATTTGTAATTTTTTTAATTTTATAATTTTAAAATGTTTAGTTATATTTTTTTATATTTTATTTAAAGAAAATAAAAAAATATAAATATAATTTATTAAAAATATAAGGGGTTAATTTTCATGAATTATATTTTAAAATTTGAGGAATTGTAATTTTTATAAGTCGAAGAGGTAATGTAATTTCACCTGATTTTCTTTAGTTTCAAGGATTAATAAGAATGTAAAATAATATTGAGTTTCACTTGCTATGTTTCAAATTTAATTATTATTAAACAAAATGAAGCTAATTAGAACAAAATAAGATTATAGTATTGCAAATAGAAAGATAAAACTTACAAAATTTATGAAAGCTCTTAGGCAACAAAAAGCAAGATTACTCCAAACAACTTTTATTCATATAGAAAATAACTTACACATTACAACTTATAACTCATGCTCCTACTTGTTAGAATCGCGCAGCGGAATGTTCGCGTGGTCGGACAAAAACCAAGAGGGGGGTGAATTGGTTTCTTAATAAAAATTAGGTTTTCAAAATTTTCCCCAAATTTTACCGATTAAAAACTGTGTAAATGTAAATAGAGAAAGAGATAGAGTCTTACACAGGAAATTTATACTGGTTCGGATCAAAAGACCCTACGTCCAGTTGCTAATCACTCAAACAGAGGATTAACGCTGTCACTATAATCAATTTGTTACAACACAAATTACAATGGAAAAGATAAAGTTAAAGATAACACCTCTCTTGAAACCCACAAGAGATGAAGAACAACTTTCCCCAGAGACGGCACAGCACACAATCCACTAAGAACTCCACTTAGTGATTCTTATCGCTTCTAGCCCACACCAGGTTCCAAAAGCCCCATTTCCTTGCAACAAACAGTTCTCTGACACTCACAACACTTAACTTTTGTATGGAAAATGTTGTTTTTTTTTTTCTGAGTGCCATAGAAGAGTTTAAGTAGAGAAATTAGGGTTTGGGAATTGGGATTTTCGGAATTAGGGTTCTTGGGAAAAGGGTTTTCGAAAATAGGTTTGATTTGAAGTTTAAAATCAAAAACAGACTGAAATAATCGATTAAATGAAGTTATAATCGATTAAAACAAAGCCAAATATCAACAGGACCCAAACCTCTCTGTTTTAATCGATTAAAAGGTGGTTTAATCGATTAAACCGCGTAATAATCGATTAAAAGTTGGTTTAATCGATTAAACGAGTGAGTTGTTACAGAAAATGATTTTTCTCACTGTTTTAATCGATTATTTCCCTATTTAATTGATTAAAGCCGAGCCTGGATGATAAATATGAGCTTTTTGAAGCTTCTAAGGTGCAGACTATGTACCGACTATCTTAAACTCTAATATTACAGACTCAATCTAATTGAAACAGAGTTATTACAATACAAAACAAGTCTTCAACTCTCTAATTCTTTGAGTTCTTGAATCATCATCAAAATCAACAATCTTCATGTCCATCAAGTGCAACACAAAGTCCTTGAATGTTCAACAATCTCCCCCTTTTTGATGATGATCAAAATTATCTTTTAAAGCCTTGTAATAACCTGTTTTGTCTGTCATACTATCAAACACATTAAACATACCAGATAATATTTAAATTCAATTCATAAGAGGCTTTAAGTATTTCTCCCCCTATTTTGATTATAATAAAAAATAACTCTGCAAATAACAATCATAAGAGCTCCCCCTCAAAATATGCATAAGTTGGAGATAACTCCCCCTCAATCAAAGCATTAAAGAAACACAAATGTCATTTCATAAAGAAACGTCATTACAGACAAAGAGATATATAACATTACAATCATGTAAAAGTTGTTTATTTAAGCAGAATTTAGGCAATGTCTAATATTCCTAAGTCTCTTATAAGATCATAAAATCTATCCTTGGGTAGAGGCTTAGTAAAAATATCTGCTAATTGAAGTTTGGTATCTACATACTCTATTTTACAGTTTCCTTTGCTGATATGGTCTCTCAAAAAGTGATGTCTTATTTCTATATGTTTAGTCCTAGAGTGCATTACTGGATTCTTAGTAAGATTTATTGCACTCGTATTATCACACATCAATGAAATGTCATTTAAAAAGATACTATAATCTTCTAACTGTTGTTTCATCCACAGAATTTGAGCACAACAACTACCAGCTGCAATATATTTAGCTTCAGTGGTAGATAAAGCAACACATGCCTGTTTCTTAGAATGCCAAGACACTAAGGATGAACCAAACAAATGACATGTCCCACTAGTACTTTTCCTATCAATTTTACATCCACCATAATCAGCATCAGAATATCCTATTAAACTAGTACAAGCATCAGACGGATACCACAAACCAAAACCACTAGTTCCTTTTAAGTATTTTAAAATATGTTTCACTGCAATTAAATGAGATTCTTTAGGACAAGCCTGAAATCTAGCACACACACAGACAAAATGCATAATATCAGGTCTACTTGCAGTTAAGTATGACAGTGATCCTATCATACCTCTATACATAGTTTGATTAACTTCCAAACCTGATTCATCCTTGTCTAGATAGCATGAAGTTCCCATGGGTGTGTTAGCTCCCTTTGAGGTGTCCATACCAAACTTTTTAAGGATCTCTTTGCAGTATTTTGTTTGAGAGATGAAAATGCCATCTTTAAGTTGCTTGATTTGTAGTCCAAGGAAGAATGTTAATTCTCCCATCATAGACATTTCAAACTCTCCCTGCATTATCTTAGCAAATTCTACACATAACGAATTATCAGTTGATCCAAAAATAATATCATCAACAAGTAGCACATCCCTGATCTCCACAGTGTTTCACTACAAGAAAAACACCAAATAGTGACCGAAATTAGTGACTGAAAAATTCAGTCACTGATAGTAACTGAATCAGTGACTGATTTCCCTTTTTATATTTAGTGACTGATTTAGTGACTAAAATTTCGATCCACGAGATATCGGTCATCGATTCGATCATCGAATCGGTCACTGATTCGATCACTACTAGAAAAATGGTTAATAGTGACCGAAAGTGGTGACTGAATTTTTTTATATTTAGTAAGCTGATTTAGTGACTAAATTTTCAGATCACTAAAAAAATAATTTTTAAATTGATAACTATTTTTCATTTATATAAATATTTTATTTAAAATATTTTAAATATAAATCTACTTAATAATTTAAAATAAGTGATAACATTGTTAATAACATTATAAAATTTTTAAAAAATAGTTTACTAACTTATTAAATAATTTAGTAATATAATTATTTAATTTTATTTTTTAATTTAGCATGTGAATAAAAAAATTAAAATTGATTATTAAATTAGTCACAGAATCGGTCACTGATTCGGTCATCGAATCGATCACTAAATCAATAATTAAATTAATTATTAATTTAGTCTCTTTTATATATATATATATATATATATATATATATATATATATTACTTGTATGTTAATAAAAATGTATTTCAATGTATTTATAAAAAATTAAAATTATTTTAATTACTGAATTGATATTTTAAATTTATATTAATATCTTGGATAATTTAATAGTTGGATATATATTTTAAGTTTATATTAGTCATTTTTATATAAAAGTGTAAAAATAAAGTGAACTTATTTTAAAATTTAATTAAACATAATAATATAATATAGTATTAACCATAAATATGTGAAGATTTAGTTAGAAATTAATTTTAAGTTTTATTGTTTTTATTTAAAAAAAATCGTTAAAAAAATTTAAAATAATTAATTAAAGTAAAGAATTTTAATTTAATAAATGTGTTAATATTATTAGAAGAATTAAATTTATATTAATAATTATATAAAATTATAGATATATTAAAATTTAAATTATTGGTAATTTTTTTAATTATTAAGCTAAAATTTGATAATATTAATAAATTAAAAATAAAATATATATA